ACAGCAGAAACACAACACTGTAAAGCAATTATACTCCAATAGAGATGTTAAAAAAAGAAAAAAAGAAAAGAAGTGCTAACAGGTAGTGTTGCTAAGAATGCAATGAAATTTACAAACTCATCTATTACTATATTACTTTTCTGGAGTCAAAAGTGTCCAAATCTTTGATAATAGTAGTTCCACTTCCAGGAACCAATCCTAAAAAATTAGATATGAAGTCAAAGATTTATATATGATCATTACAGCACCTATAGAGAGGAGACAATCTGAATATTCAGTAGTAAAGGAGTGATTAAATAAACCATGGTACATCAATCTAATGGAATTTTTGCAACCACTAAAAATACTTAATGCCACAGAGAAACACTAATATTTAATTTAATGTACAGATAAATCTTTTAGGTTATAAAACTATTTCTCCTCAAGGGTTGGGAGAAAAAATATACCAAAATATATTATGTAATTATGGTGGTTTTTACCTTCTCTTTCATATTTTCTAAAATGGGCACATATTTTAACAATCAGAAGAAAAATCATTAAAAGATTTCCACCAAAATATGTAAATCAAATGACATATATTTACATTTTCATAACACTAAGATATTTAATAGAGTAATACAACATATTAGTTACTTTTTACATGCATCTTTTCATTTTGCATACTTATAACAATGTCTGCCAGTGAATGGTCTCTGTTTCTAAAATTAAATTAGATAAAGTATAAGCAAGTACAGAGTATTATGTGAAGGGTATAATTTGAGGGGTAATCTTTGGTGGAAAAAATTGATTTGAGGAGAATTTGGGATAGTCAAAATCCATCTGTAAAGCCATAATGGCTGGACCTATATCATAACTTTTATAATAGTATTTTTTATTTTTAATTGTGGTAAAAAAACACATAACAAACTTTACCATCTTTTTTTTTTTTTTTTTTTTTTTGCCGTACGCGGGCCTCTCACTGTTGTGGCCTCTCCCGCTGTGGAGCACAGGCTCCGGACGCGCAGGCTCAGCGGCCATGGCTCACGGGCCCAGCCGCTCCGCGGCATGTGGGATCTTCCCGGACCGGGGCACGAACCCGTGTCCCCTGCATCGGCAGGCGGACTCTCAACCACTGCGCCACCAGGGAAGCCCTTTGCCATCTTAATAATTTTAAAACGTACAGTTCAGTAGTATTAAGTATATTCACACTGTTATATATAATAGTATTTTAAGGATAGTGTTTTTATTGGTTTCATAAAAACAATACATGTTCATTTATAAATAATTCAAACAATATAGAAAGTTACAGGAAGGTTTTTAAATCTCCTCAGATCCCAGATTTTACCATCAATATTAAGTGACCATCGTGGTAGGCATATTTCTATGCACTTATACAAATAAGTTAATCTTATTTAAGATGAGAATGTGCATACTTTAAAAAATTTTAAAGTGTTAAAATTATTTGAATTTGGTAGTAGTAAGATAAGCTGAAGGAATTGCTGAACTCTAGAAAAATGTTTCTTTGCCACAAGAGATCTTATGTCCTAAAATATCCAAAGTTTAAAAAATTAAGAGTTTGGAGATTTTTTTATCTGTATGTTTCCAATTTAGAAATGCAAGTTGACTCTGCCATGAAAAAGATATATTTTTATTTATGTCATTATTTTTTAAAGTGAAGGTTTTAATGTTCCTGTTTTGTAACCTTAATTCCTTTGGTCATTTGGTCTTGATCTCTATTTTAAAATCCAGTGGTCACAACACACCTCAGTTCTCAATTCCTACTTATTAATTTTGATTCATCACTTAGCTATCTGCTCCTAAGTAGTTTTTTTTTTTTTTTTAACATGGATTCGTGGATGTTATGTTTGCCTTTTTCATCAATTTCTGAATGTCACTTACTTAGATATCATAGTTTGGGGTCATGCTGGCTTTGCCTTAAGACTGCAAACATTTTTCCTTTGTTTTCTGGCTTTGAATATTGCTTAGAGGAAGTCTAAGGCCAGCATGATTTCCGCCCTCTGATAAGTTAGTTTTCGGCCTGGAGGTCTGAATTTTTTCCTTCATTCTTCATGGCTAATAGCTTAACCAGTATATGCCTTGATATGAATAGTATATGTCCATTTTTCTTTGAACATTTTATTCTGCAGATTCAGTTCTTTCATGATTTTGTGGAAATTCTCTTCTGTTACATCTTTAAGTGCTTTTTCTGATTCATTTGTTGCATTATGTACTCAGGGAGTTGAATTAGGCTATATCATGTTGTCTTTGTCTCACTTGCATATTACCTTGTTTGCAATTACTTTGGTCCACTTTTCTTCTGCATTCACTTATTAAATTCAATTGTCAACTGGAATTTATTGAGTGCCAGCACCAGGGATAAATAAGATCACATCCCTTCCTTTATGTGAAGCTATGAAGCTTTTTACTTGAGAATAGGGGAGGGAGAAATACCATAACAAAGTCAGGTAGTGAGAATAAGAAACCCAGGTAAGGAAATGGAGGTGGGGGGGAATTGTGCATTTTAAATAATGCAGTGAGAGTAGGCCTCTCCGAGATGACATTTGAGAATAAACGTGAATGGAACGAGGCTGTGAGACAGGCAAAGACCTGGGCAATCCAGATGTAGAGAAGAGCAAGCACAAAGGCCCTGCAGTGGAAAAGTGGTGTGTTCAAGACAGAATGATTAGAGCTGAATGAGTAATCAGAAACTGGTAAGAGGTGAGACTAGAAAGTTGGATAGGCCGGGTCACAAAAGGGGCTGAAGGCCCGAAAGAGGAGGCTGAATTTTGTTCCAACTGTGATGAGGAGCAAGGAGATGACATATGCTTTAGAGGAGTCACTCTGGCTGCTGCTAAGTATTTCAACAGCAATAAATTGAGTATAAAGAATTGGTCAGACAGGTGTTGTCTAACTGAAAAAGGAAAAGGGGAGCACTGAGATAATATAATAACTTCAGGAACTAACCTAGTCCTGGATAAACCTGGGAAGACCTGAAGTTACTAGAACCCCGGGGCTAGGAGGGGAGACCCAGCAGAGTTGGAACCCTGACCTGGGGCAGGGGGTGCTGCCCACTGGCTGCTGGTGCCTCTGAGAGGTATGCTGGGGCTGGTTCTAGGAAAGTGGAAAATAGTTGAAATTTGGGGCTAACTGCTGCTGTGAGGGTGAAGGTCCATAACTGGGGCAATGCTGGCAGGTGCAGAAAGCCAACAAGGAGGAGCAAGTTCTTTTTCCCTCTTCCTGACTTTTAGTCTTTTTTTTTCTAATGTTGCTTACTGACTGTAGCAAGGATTCAGCTGGCAAAGTATAGAAATGTAGCTTGCAGAGTCCCAGTCCCAGCATCACAGAGTATGGAATGGTTTATTGCTAAGAGATAACAGCCTAATAACTGGCACAAAGAGGAATTAAGGATGACTTCTAGGTTTTTGTCTTGAGCAACTGGATGAAAATAATGCCACTTGTTGACATGGGGGAAACATGGGGAGAAGTAAATTGAGAGGGAGAAGAAAACTAATATGTTTGTTTTGAATGAGTTAACTTTGCAGTCCTTATTAGACATCTGAGTGGAGTTGGTAGATATGGGTTCGGAGCTCGACAAAGGTATTAGGGATAGAATACAAATTTCAGGAGTCCTAAGAACACAGACAATATTTAAAATCAGAAAAATTGGATAAGATGACTGAGGGGGAAATTAATATTATGCTGAAGAAAATAAAGGGTGAGGAATATGCCTGGGAGTCCCAAACATTTGGGAAAAGGAAAATGATCTGGCAAGAAGGTAACTGATGATCTCAACAAGAGCAGTTTAGGTGGAGCTATGGAGACAATAATCCTAATTGGAATGGACTAAAGAGATGATGTATGGTGAGGAAGTAGAAACTGCCAAGTACAGACAACCTTTTAAAAGTTTGTTATAGGGGCTTCCCTGGTGGCGCAGTGGTTGAGAGTCCGCCTGCCGATGCAGGGGACATGGGTTCGTGCCCCGGTCCGGGAAGATCCCACATGCCGCGGAGCGGCTGGGCCCGTGAGCCATGGCCGCTGAGCCTGCGCGTCCGGAGCCTGCGCTCCGCAACAGGAGAGGCCACAACAGTGAGAGGCCCGCGTACCGCAAAAAAAAGTTTGTTATAAAAGGGAGCAGAAAAAATGGGCTCCTACTCACCAAGTAAGTGGAGGAGGATATGAGGTCTAGGGTGATGGTATTTTTAGAAGGAAATACTACAGTATGTTTACTGATTGGAATAATCCAGTAAAGAGAGAGAAACTGAGGATGCAGGAAATGGAGGGGGTAATCACAGGAGCACAATCCTTGACTATACAAGATGGGATCCAGGGTACAAGTAGAGGGGCTTGCCTTAGATAAGAGCAGGGAGAGTTGACCCTTTATAAAGGAAGAGTACAGATTAAGTCAGGTTGATAGGTATAACGTGGGGAAAAGGAGATTCTCTTGTGATAGCTTCTATTTATCAATAAAATGTTCAAAGTGAGGAGCAGGGAAATGTGGGAGATTTAGGAGAGAGGAGACAAGGCATAATCAGATTGATGAATTGACTAGGGAATGTGCTGGGATTACCAGTCTTTTCTTTTGGTGAGAATTTGATTTCCAGCCATGCTTATTTCATTTCTTGCTGATCCAAATTTATTTATTTATTTATTTTGGAATAATAGTATTATTTTGGGCTTCATTGGCTTAGGTTGCAGACTTTTCTTTTTTCTCGCTGCTTCTGGTAATTTTTTTATAAATTTATTTATTTATTTTTGGCTGCCTTGGGTCTTTGTTGCTGTGCGCGGGCTTTCTCTCGTTACTGCGAGCAGGGGGTACTCTTTGTTGCGGTGCGCAAGCTTCTCATTGCGGTGGCTTCTCTTGTTGCGGAGCACGGGCTCTAGGCGCACGGGCCTCAGTAGTGTGGCGCTCAGGCTCAGCAGTTGTGGCTCGCGGGCTCCAGAGCACAGGCTCAGTAGTTCCGCAGGCTTAGTTGTTCCGCAGTGTGGGATCTTCCCGGACCAGGGCTGAAACCTGTGTCCCCTGCATTGGCAGGCAGATTCCTAACCACTGCGCCACCGGGGAAGTCCCTGGTAAGGTTTTTAAAGGAGTTTTTACTGTTCTTTTTTTCGCGCAAACTATTTTGTAAAGTATTGGGGCAGGAAAATTTTGTGATCAGCCTTCACTCCCCATTTTTATCTGAAAGTGTAGAATAATGTTTTTAAATAGACTGCACTTCATATTTTTTCAACTCAACCTATATATATAACAGATAATGTCATAGTAATATTATATATTGTATTATTATAACAGCCACCATTTACTGAATGCCTAGGTGCCATGTACTATGCTGGGTACTTTACATACATGATTTCTAAAACATAACAACCTTACAAGGTAAGTATTGTTGCCAGTTATTTCCACAAGAAACCTTTTTTACTGGTGGTTTACAGATCACAGAATCTTACTTGAAGCTCATAGCTGGCCAACATAAACAAGGTAAGAATCAATTTTTCTCCCTTTTGTGTCTGTAAAAAATTAGCACTTAAGACACTGTTCTTTTTGAAGTACAAAATAATAGTTTGCAAAAGTGCACCACACAAACTAAGGGAGATTTTTATGGACAACTTTTTAACATAGGACTATATCATTAATCTCTTGGTGGGAGAGTTGCTAACTGACAGATTCAAGGAACTTGGTAAATTAATTGAGTATCCCTTCTCTAACCATCTCATCATCAACGAACATACTAAGAGCCTGCTATGTCGAAATAATTAATAAATTATATTAAACCACTATAATTTTACAAGTTATAGGATATGTACCAGTGTTTGTTTTGGAAACTCCATTGTTTGGATTTAAATCAATATCAAACTTTTCTTTTGGGCAACAATATTTATACTCGTGATGATACTGAAAACACATCATTGGGACATAAACACATATCTATGCCAAGTAATGGGTTTCTTTTTCTGATTATAAAAGTAGTACAAGTGAAGAAAAATTTGAAAATATGTTTAAATAAAATAAAGAAAAAATACTTTTTAAAGAGACAGCAAGAAAAAAACAACCAATAATTCCTTTATTTAGAGTTAACTGACTATTGGTTGACATATTTCCACGCAGTTTTTTAAGCTTATGAAGTTTAAACTGTTTGCTTGAGCACACTGTTTTTCATAACAATTTATCAGAAATGTTTCCTCAAGTTATTTAAAACTCTTTAAAAACATTTTCAGTGGCTGCATTAATGATCCTTGTGTGGAGTAGTGTTTCCTTAAGTGGTCATTTAAGCTATTTTCCTTACTTTCTTATAAATAATGTTGCTATGAACTTTTTATGCATAAATCTACTTTAGCATTTCAGATTATTTCCTAAATTAGGATGAATTCCTAGAAATAGACTACAAGGCCAACATTTTTAAGCTTCTTCATCTGGTAAAAATTTTGCTGTTAAAAAAATATATATCTCTTTTAATTCTCTACATATATTTATACTGAAAATAAACCTAAGGAGAAAAAGGTATGAGGCCTACCTTTTAAAATTGAGATTAATGTTTAAATTTAGGCTCAGTGTTTTTGTTTTGCTTTGTTTTTATTTTAATATCTTACCTTTAAGGAAAAATCCACTCTTCAAAATATTAGTTACTTCTTTTTATCAGGCTTGAAACTTACATTTAATTTGAGATAGAAGTTTAAATGTATACTTATTTCAGCCTAATATTGCTATTTTTCAAGGTTTACCATCTCTTTTTTCCTATTTCCAAATTTGCTCACCCAACAGTGTTGCCTCCTGACTCATCAGCAGTTTAATTTCACATGCACACCACTAATTCATGGTGGTGAATTACACATTCATCTGTGGATAAAAGCCTAAATAAAATTACAGATCAAGGTCATTCCCAAATTTAGCAAATTTGGCACAAGAGTTTAAGAGTACCAAAATTAATATTATAGAACAGTTCAATTGTGCTAGACTGAACTTCAGAGCATATGAAGAATAGAGCACGTTCACCCAATTCTAAAATTAATTTAGAATGGTGATGGAATCACAAAACTTGGGAAAACCTCCAGAAGAAATAGAGCCAAAGCAAATAAGATTACTGCTTTGTAGTAGTTATGATTTAATAATTCACTCACCAGTACTTACTGAACATCTTTTATGTGTCAAACACTTGCTAGAAGGGAGCTGGAGTAAGCAAAAAGATATAGGCCTGCCCTCCTGGAAGATACATTCTAGTGGAAGAGACAGACAAAAGTAAATGAACAAATAAGTAAAAGTCATAAGTTTTAATCTAGTCACTTTTATTACTTAGTGTTATTTATGTGAGACAAAGAAGTGATCTGAGTTCTCCCCCAAGAATTTTTAAAGCAGTACTGAGTAAGAAAAAAGTTAAAGATTTAGAATTATTAGGAAACAGATGATCTCCACAGATATTTTATGACTCTGATCATTACCATTCCATTACCATTGTGCCCTGTACCCACCCTCCCCAAAAGTACTCTCTCTATTCTGGTCTGACCCAACCTCAGATGAAGCATGTTACAGTAGAAGGTAAAATGTGCCAGATTTGGGGATCAAGGAAACCCAGGTTTGGCAAGTAGCAATGGTGATATCGAGACCTTAAGTGAGACATTTCATTTTCCAGTGTCAGTTTCCTTTGCAAAACGATGAATTTTGACTAAATGATCTCTGAAATCTCTTCAAGTTTTAAAATTCACTGTGCATCTCTCCTTAAAACCTTTCTTCCATTATGCTCTTATTTATACCGGGGGTGGGGAGAAAATGGCATGAGGAAGGCTACAGATGTTGGAAAGAATAAGATTGATTCCTGGTTTTTTTGTTTTGTTTTGTTTTTGCGGTACGCGGGCCTCTCACTGTTGTGGCCTCTCCCATTGCGGAGCACAGGCTCCGGGCGCGCAGGCTCAGCGGCCATGGCTCACGGGTCCAGCCGCTCCGCGGCATGTGGGATCTTCCCGGACCGGGGCATGAACCCGTGTCCCCTGCATCGGCAGGCGGACCCTCAACCACTGCGCCATCAGGGAAGCCCAAGTATATTGTTTTAATAAATGTCAAATTCTGCATTGGTTTGATAGTTCACCAACTGAGTAAAGAAATCAGAGAGGTGACATAGTGCTTTATAACTACTCTAAAAACTATCCTGAGTGAGTTAAAAATCTTTTCAATTTAATAGTTTTTGTTTGGGAAAAAAGTAGAACCTCTCTTGTGCCTCTTTGTGAACTGGTGCAAGTTAAACATCTTTTTTATAGCTTCAAGTTACTTTTAAGCACCTATACAGTATCAATTTGGAATCTAAAGGAACATTCACATTAACAATTATTTCTATGAATAGCTATGGACTTTGCAGTCATAGATAGTAGAATTTTAGTGAAGGGATCTTTGGGGTCATATAATCCAGCTCTCATTTTGCAGAAAAGGAAAATGAAGCCCAGAAAAGTTTTTATGACTCACAGCAGTAAGCTTGGCGGGCAGAGGGGAAGGGCGCTGCTAACACTCTCTGTTGGCCTAAGGCATGCCAGAGGGTAATAGGTTATAAGAAGAGTCTGTAGCTAACACAGTTGAACAAATCTAACAAAGAGGTCTGATGTGGTTCATAAGTATACATTTTTCCCTTAAGATTCTTGTTGGATGATCCATTCCACCTTACTTTATTACCACAAACACGAAAGGAAAGTACCTTTACACAAATGGATGCTCCTACAAAATAAAACCCAAGAGAGAAGTTGGAGTCGGTTTGGCAGAGCTACAATGCTACACAACCCCTGGGGGGAACATTTATATATATCCATATGTATACATACCTGTAGCCTCTTAATTGTGCTTCAGGAAATGTCATTTACATACATTACAATGTAAATGTTGCCCACTGGAGTTGTACATCAGAGGACACTGCAAATATAAGTTTTGTACATTGAATTAATTACGGTAAGCTAATTGTCATTAACAGATCAACCCCAAAATGTATAATGGCTCAAGTTTGTTTCTTGCTAAAATAAACAAGTACTTCAGTACTTAGTTTTCAAGGTCTTTCTGTACCTAAGCTTTCAGTACCAAAGTTCCAATATCTCCCTGGGCGTCTTTTCTCTTTCAGCCCGTAGGAAGGGGAGTTTTTAGGGGGAACTCAAAGTAGTACATATAACTTCCATTTTCATTCCATTGGCTGTAACTTAAGCCATATGTCCACAGCTACTTAAGTCACATGTCCACAGCTAACTGCAGGGGAGGCTGGGAATAAGCTTATCTGTATGGCCAAGAAGTGAGAACATGGATTTTGATGTCTAGCTAGCAGCCACTGCTCACTTGGGTGCTCTCTCTCCACACACACACACACACACACACACACACACACACACACATACACATATACACACACACACATTCTGAAGTGATCACCAAAATTAAATTAACTCATACAGTTATGCTTCAAATAGAATAAATTAGTCGTGGAAGAAAGGACCTTTCATTTAAGAATTGTATTCACTTCTACCCTTTCCCTCCTTCAGCCAGAACTAATTGTTAATGCATAACAACAGTCAACTGAAATCTCAAAATGAGGGGAAAGAAGCAAATGTTTGCAACAATTACCTTTATAGATATATAGATATAGATAGATATAGATTAGAAGGGCGTTGGCTTGGTTTCCCTATCCCATCAACTAGTCAAATTCAGAACTAAGACTCTTGACTGGGCTGCTTGTTTTAAAGGCACAAGGCCATCAAGTTCCCTTTTAATTACACTATTAGTAAATGATGTTTGAAAAATATTCAACTTTTTACACAACAAAGATAACAATTCCACAAACAGTAAATTTAGTGGGGGGGGGTTTCCTTTGAGTAAGTTGCCATTTTAATCCTCAAAAGTGTTCCCAATTACTCAGTTTTTAATAGAAGCACTGCATGGCTGCACTTTTGAAATCATAAACAGGAAGTGTGGTATATAAATGTCAGTAAAACTAAAACTGAATTCTGTGGTTTGATGTTTTTCTTCCCCTCATATTTTCATGTTAATGTCTGATTTTGTATGTACTTAGAATGACTACCTGAAGGCAAACAGTAGTTCATTACCTGATCAGTTTTCTCTGGCAACCTAACAATTTTGGGGCATGGGGGAAATATATGGAATAACCTAAATGTTGTACATTTTCATGGAGGAAGGAATGGAAATGACCTAGAAACTGCTGTTGATTTGGCATTGTTAGAAATTGCTTTCATGTATAGGGTGCACTTTATTGTTGCCAGAAGACAGTGTAGATGGAGAAAGAGGCCAGAGAATGAATGACTCTTAATTTAACTATTTGAAAACTATTATAGAAACTATTATAGAAAACACTCTTACAATTTGTACAGTCTTATTCTGAACCTCAGTAATTCCTTGAATGTGTTCCTCTGCACTAAATTCCTTTGTGAGACAACTAAGGAGTAGCTTAAGTACTGCAAAAATCCAGGATATTATCTCTGGTTCTTCTCTATGAAGAAGCTATGGTTCTTTCTATAGTTAATATTTTCTATATAACATTATTTCAGTGTCTCTGCTACATGGACTTTTCTATGGAAATTCCAAGGAAAGATTAAAATTGACCAGTCCAGACTTGTATATTACATTAAATATTTCTGGAGAAATGTTACCAACATACAAATGCTCCTGGAACTCTAAAATGTTTTTCTTTAGGAAACTGTTTCTTTTCTTAATTTGTTCTTAAACTGAACACTGAAGGAATGAATTTGCTCAAAGTCACACAATATATGAGTGAAATACAAAAAAACAGAACCTATGTATCTAAACTCCCTTTCAAGGCAGATCACACTGATCCAGAGAATATGTTTCAAAAGGAGGTAGGTAGCCTGCCCATCTATTGAGGGTCTATCTTTCTGCAGCACATGAGGCATTGTTGAACAGCACATACAGTATTTAACACTTGCGGCATTATCTTTTAGTTGAAAATACAACATATATAGAAAAGATATAGGAATATGTGAAAAGTAACATAATAAGAGTATATTAATCAAGTACAAACTACAAATAATTGCTAAGGGGATGTGCAAAATGAAGTGATTTAAAACTAGATTGATATGGACAGAAGTTTAGTGGAATTGGAAAATCTCATGTGGATTTTTTGAAAGTGGCAATGGGTTTGGATTGCCAGAGAGAAAAGATAACCATTCATTCATTCATCAAATATTTACTGAGTGCTTCCTATGTGCTATGTGCTAGGCACTGTTCGAGGCACTAGAGATGCAACAATATACAGAACTACTGCAGAGCAGGAATAGGCAGGTCATTTCACAGACACGATTAGAACAGAGAACACAAATACGGGAGTAGAGAGAAATGAAATACTAGGTCTTAAATACTAGGATGTTTCTAAATGGGAGAAAGATGTTTGGTATGACTTGAACTCCTTTTGTCATCACTGTCAGAACAGACTGCTTTCCCTTCTCAGTTGGTCAGCTCTCTTAGCCTCCTAGATAACTTTATAATGACCAGGATAACACAAGCCAAATAAATACTGCACATATAAAGATTCCCAGCTGAAGTGTATGGAGAGCAAAAAGGGAAAGAATGGCTAGCAGAAGTTGAATTTTATGGCTCCTTTTATCTTTCCAATGGTTTCTATTGTATATTATCAGTCTCTTGCCAGCCACGTCTCCCATGTGGTATTTGTCAAAGTCGTGATTCAATACCTGAAGGTTCTGCTCTCCTCCATTCCTTTCAAGTAGAATCACTGAAAGGAAGGGAGATTCCAGTTAAATTCCTTTTTTCTACTTAATCAGGTTTTCTGTATTCACCGAGCAATACTTCTCTACAGAGTGTTTGATGGAAAGTATTTTATGTTTTGTGTAGACTAGTGGGGAAAGGGATAAGATAGGATGGGGGCTAGGGAGAATACCAAGAGGCTGCAATATAATTCTATACAATACAAGAGGCTACAATACAAACTTGACATTTAAGAGCTTGGATTAAATGGGCAATTTTAAAAATGAAAAGGGATATATCAAGTACCACTGTAGAGAAGTAGCTATAAGAAGTAACAAGTTTAGCAACTGTTTACCTATGGGAGGGAAAGAAGGAAATGAACCTAAGATTTTTAAGTTTGAAGGTCCCAAAATTTGTGTTGTCACCGATAATAGCCACGAAATTTGGAAAAAATAGCTTGAAGGAAAAAAATGAACTTAATGTCAGATCTAAGTGGGATATCACTAGAAGACAGAGGACTCAAGCTTTCTCAATAAGCTACTGATGACATATGAAAGTCATCATTATATAGAAATAGATTGAAACCCTATGGGCTAAAAAGGGAATGCAATAAACAACATCAAATGGCTGCATATGAACTTTGATTGTAAGATGAGGAAAGCAATTTCAAAGCAATTTCAAAAGAGGTAATCTAGCTTTGGAACTCTTTCCTTCAGGTCAGACAAAGCTGTCCTTTATTAAACATTATCTCTTCATGTTAGCTGACCCCTTAGTGGGTGAGAATAACAAGCTGAATGAATAAAATTAAAAGACTTTGTTTCTCTGGATTATCTCACTCAATGTTCTGAATTTTTAATTGAATGTCCTCCTAGCCAGCTTAAACAAATTATGTGCCTTAAGATAAAACACACAAAATAAATACCTAAAACTTTTCTTTGACTATGGTACTCCCATATAAAGGCTATGGCACTCCCGTATAAAGGCTATGGCTTCAAAAAGTATAAAAGGTACATTAATGCAAGTCATCCAAACTATTTAGCCCTTAAATGTGGGGCTTGTTTTAATGTAAAACTGTCAGACCAACATAAATTTCCATCCCCAAAGCAAATCTTGGCTATGGAACTAAATAAAAAAGCACTTTTAAAGAAGGTTCAATTTTAGAATGTGCTACCCTACGTGTTTCTTTAAATAGCAAAGGATCAAGTTTGACCCTCCCTGAACTAAGGGTTTTTGTGGTACGATTTCTGTAAACAGAAGATTATATAATAAAATATATTCAGCATCTTACCATTATCTAATCCAATATGGCTTTGGATTCCTACATTTATGTAGAAGTATCTTCATAGTAGCTAGCAATGGAACATTTATTTAGTACATGCTGTATGTCGGACACTGTGTTAAGTGCTCAAATATTTATTATTTCATTTAATATTCACAACAGCTTCTTGAGGTATTATTAACCCATTTCACAGATGGGCAAAACCGAGGCCCAAGTAAAGTTATATCTTCAAGATAATGTAGACAGTAAGTGGGCAGAGCTAGGATTTAAGTCCAGATCTGTCTGATTCCAATGCTACTTTTTTTTTTAACATCTTTATGGGAGTATAATTGCTTTATAATGGTGTGTTAGTTTCTGCTTTATAACAAAGTGAATCAGCTATACATATACATATACCCCCGTATCTCCTCCCTCTTGCATCTCCCTCCCACCCTCCCTATCCCACCCCTCTGGGTGGTCACCAATGCTACCTTCCTTAAGTCCTACTTTGCCTCCAAAAGTTACCTAAAAGCAATAAATAAGTAAACAAAAAAATAAATAAAACTTAATTGTTTTGGCTATTCTAGACCTTTTGCATTTCTATACAAATTTTAGAATCAGCTTCTCAGCTTTTTTTTTTTTTTTTTAAGCCTACTGGAATTTTTATTTGGACTGTACTGAACCTTTAGATCAATTTGGGGAGAACTGACATCTTAACAATATGAACCCATGAGCCAGGTAAATCTCTCCAATTATTTAAGTCATCATTTAATTCCTCTCAGTGTTATTTGTAGTTTTCAGTGTACAGGTCTTTCATGCCTTTTTCAGATTTATTCCTAAGGACTTCATATTTTTTATGCTATTGTAAATGTTCTGTATTTTTTGCACTTCCATTTTTAATATTTGGTGCTAGAATGTAGAAATATAAATGACTGTTATATATTGATCTTCTATCCTACAATCTTGCTAAACTCACTTATTCTGGCAGCTTTTTGTCAATTCCACCAAGTGGAATAGATGGACGATTATGTCAGTTTTATTTTCTCTTTTCCAATCTGAAATTGTTTTATTCCTTTTCTTTCCTGATTGTACTGGTCAGAACCTCCAATACTGAATAAAAGTGATAAGAGCAGAAATCCTTGTATTGTTCCTGATCTTAGAAAGCATGCAGTCTTTCATCAGTAGGTATGAGGTTATCTGTAGGTTTTGTGTAGATACCCTTTATCTGGTTGAAGAAGTATCCTTGCATTCCTAGTTTATTGAGAGTTTTTAATATCAGAAATGAAAACTGGGTTTTGTCAAATTTTCTTCTACATATTAAGATGATCAATTTTTCTTTTTTAGTTTAATATGGTGAATTATACTCATTGATTTTTGAATGCTAAAACCAATCCTGTATTCTTGGGATAAACCCCACGCAATAATACTATCCTTCTTATATATGGTTGGATTTTGGTAAAATTTTGTTTAGAATTTTTACACTTATGTTTATGAGGGGGATTGGCCTGAGTTTTCTTGTTATGTCTTTGTGTGGTTTGGGTATCAGGGTGAGGCTGGCCTCAAAGAACAAGTTGGGAAGTATTCCCTCCTCTTCACGTTTCTGGAAGAGTGTAACTCGTATTTTTTTTTCCCTAAATGTTTGGAAGGATTTGTCAGTGAAGCCCTATGGACCAGAAGTTTTCTTTGTGGGAATATTTTAAACTAATAATTCAACAGACAAATGACCATTCAGGTTATCTATTTCTTCTTGAATGAGCTTTGGTAGTTTATGTCTTTCAATGACTTCGGCCATTTCATCTAAGTTGTTGACTTTTTTTTTTTTTGCCTAAAGTTGTTCATAATATCCCCTTATTATCTTTTATTTGTAGAATTTGTAATGATGTCACCTCCTCTCATTCCTGATTACTTGTCTTCCTGATATGTGTCTTTTTTTTTTTTTCTTCCTGACTAGTCTGGCTAAAAGTTTATCAACTTTACTGACCTCAAGGAACCAGGCTTTGATTCCACAGATATTCTCAATTGATTTTTGTTTTCCATTTCATTGATTTCTACTTTGATCTTTATTATTTCATGATTTATTTTTTGCTTCTTTGTATTTAACTTGCTCTTTTTTTCTAGTATCTTAACATCAAGTTGAGGTCATTGATTTGAGATTTTTTTGTATTTTCTAATATAGGCATTTCATTTATTCAAAATTTGATATGTTATATTTTTATTTCCTTCAGTTCAAAATACTTTCTAATTTCACTTTTGAGTCCTTCTTTAATCAATGGATTATATAAAAGCATGTTATTTTGTTTCAAAATATTTGGGGATTTTCCAGTTAGCTTTCTGTTACTGATTTCTTATTTAATTCCTTTGTGGTCAGGTCATACTTCAGCATGACTTGAATCCTTTAAAATATACTGAGACACGTTTTATGACCTAAAACAAAGGTCAGCAAACTTTTTCTTTAGAGGGTCAGATAGTAAATACTTTAAGCTTTGTGGGCCACATACAATCTCAATATTTTTTTTTAGAAATCTTTCAAAATGTGAAAACCATTCTTAGTTCATAGGCCAATACAAAACCAGGCTAGATTTGGCCCCAGGGCAATAGTTTGCTGACCCCTGGCCTAAAATATGCTCACTCTGGGTAAATGTTTCATGTTAAAGAGAATATGTATTCTACTACTATATGTGGAATGTTCTAGGCAAGTCAATTAGGTAATATTGGTGGGTAGTGTTGTTTAAGTTTACTATATCCTTGCTAGGTTTCAACTTGTTCTAGCAATTATTGAAAGAGGGGTACTGAAATCTCTGACTATAATTGTAGATTCTTCTGTTTCTCCTTGCAGTTCTATCATTTTTTGCTTCACATATTTTGAACCTACTGTTATTTGGGGCATAAACATTTAGGACCATTATGTACTCCTGATTAACTGGCCCCTTTATTATCATGAAATGACCTTCATTATCTCTGGTAATATTCTTCACTTTGAAATCTTACTTTGTTTCTATATGTCAATCTAGCCACACCAGTTTTCTTTTGACTAGGGTGAGCAACAGCATGGTATATCTTTTTCCATCCTTTCATTCTTAATGTTTTTGCATTTTCATATGTAAAGTGTGTTGGGTCTTTCTTTCTATCAATCTGATAAGTTCTGCCTTTTAATAAGGATTTTTAGATCATTTACATTTAATGTGATTCTTGATATGATTAGATTTAAGTCTATCATCTTACTGTTTTCTATTTGTTCCTTTTGTCCTATGTTCCATTTGTTTATTGTTCCTTTCTTCCTTTTTCTGTCTTTTTTCAGATTGAATTTTTATGGTTCCATTTTTTCTCATTTGTTGGCTTGTTACCTAATAATGTTTTATTATTCTGCTGGTTGCTTGAGGGTTTATAGTCTACATATATAACTTATCACAGCCTACTTTCAAGTGATATTATATCACTTCACATATAGCAAATATCATACTTCTGTTTTTCCCCTCCTGCCCTTTATGCTATTGTTATCATATATTTTACTTATGCATGCTGTAACCCCCATTATACATTGTTATTATTTTTGTTTAAACAGTCGATTTTCTTTTTTTAAATATTTATTTATTTATTTATTTTTATGGCTGTGTCGGGCTTTAGTTGCAGCCCGCGGGCTCTTTGTTGCTGCATGCGGGCTTCTCTCTAGTTATGGCACTCAGGCTCAGTAGTTGTGGTGCGTGGGCTCTGTAGTTTGCAGCACGTGGGCTCTCCAGTTGAAGCGCACAAGCTCAGTAGTCGTGGCGTGCTAACATTTATACTAACCGCGGTATAAATGGTATACCACGTGGCGTGGTATTTATACTAACCATAGGACTATTACGGTATATAATGCACATTCATTTTAATTTTAAGATAAAATGTGAAACTAAAGAAAATTCTATCTTGAGACCAAGTTTCTAGGGCTATTATTCACTCTTCTCTGCTATTGACCAAACCACACATTTGTGAAAAAGTCTTGAGGAGCAGTGACTTTGATGACTCTTCTCAATTTTGTTTTGGCTGCGTCTGGTCCTAGTTGCTGCACACGGGATCTCCGTTGTGGCTCACAGCCTTCTCTCTAGTTGTGGCATGCAGGTTTCCTCTCTCTAGTTGTGGTGTGCAGGCTCCAGAGCACACGGGCTCTGTAGTTTGCAGCACGTGGGTTCTCTAGTTGAGGCGCTCGGGATCAGCAGTAGTGGCGCACAGGTTTAGTTGTCCAGCAGCATGTGGGATCTTAGTTCCCTGACCAGGGATCGAACCCACGTCCCTTGCACTGGAAGGTGGATTCTTTACCACTGGACCACCATGGAAGTCCCTATTCACGATTTTTTAAAATCTCTCCTAAAATTGGATGCTGTCAATAAATGTAGGTTATTCATAGAGGTTTTTATTTAATTTGAATATGTATTTCTGAACTGACCGCTATATCCTGTTATTCAGCTCATGAATCATTTCTTATTGTAATCATGAAAAGTTTACTTGATTCCAAGTTTTTAAAACACCCATCATTATTCCTGTGAAGAAGAACTTTTACTTACCAGTTCTCACTTTCATCACTGTCAGTGTGCCTGCATCAGTCAGAACCTGCAACACTGTCCAATTTTCTGATTCCAATCCAGGATAGAATAAGAATGCATATAAACAAGCCTGTTAGAAGTAAACCTAAAATAAAGATAAATAGGCTCATTATGAAGACCCTACCGGAAAATCCACTTCTAAGACTGAATCCTAAGGAAATAAATAAGGCAAAAATTTAACGATTGTTGATACATTGTTCCTTTTACCAGTAGAGAAAAACTGGTAGGCATCAATATAAATACTCCCAAATAAGAAACTGCTATGGTACATCCTTATATTCTATAGTAGAATACTTATTCAGTAATTAAAGTACATTATACTTGAATATTTACTGCTAGGAAATATATATGAACAAAAAACAGTTGTTAAAATTTAATAACGGGGGTTAATAGTGGTTATTTCTGGGTGTGGGATTATTCACCTTTTTCTACCTCTTGCCCATTTGTATCTTCTTTAATACCAATTTCTTATAATAAAAAAACACAAAGTTTTCAGAAATACTTATTCAACATGAATAAATACTATTCAAAATGATAAAGTCATCATTTGTTTATTCATTAATTCAACAAATATTTGCAGCATTAAATAAGACCTAGTCCTTGCCCTCATGACTTTTCATTTGTGGGCATGATTAACAGTCTTGGAAATTTTTTAGTCCTTGTTCCTCTCTTTCATTGTCATTACTTAATTGCCCAGTCACTCCCTCCCTTACTCATCGAGGACTTTGGCACTTGGCTGCCAGTATCCACCTCCCCTGCATTTTCTGCTATTGTGCGCCGTTTCCATGTCCATACAGACAACCCATCCAACAACCTTGAACTCTGACTCCACCATCTTACAACCACTTCATTCAGCCTTCCAGACCCAGAGCCACACACCAAGAAATTACTCCATGGCCTTAGACTCCAATATCTTGATCTCTGACCAAACCGCTTACCACTCCAGCTTTTTTCACTCCATTTACTCACTTAAGACCTGCTTTCTTACCTTATTTTAACCTCTATTCCAAGCATTACTTCCCTAGTGCAAAATCTCATTATTTCCCTCCATGGCTATAAAAACACACAAAAATACTTCCATTTATTTAAAAAACAAAATGAAATTAAAACACCTTTTATAACATTCCCTTAGTATTTAAATTAAGAAACAACAACCATGATACCTTATTAGCAAACCATGAAGTTTTATACAGAAACATATATAGCTTGCACTACTTCCAGAGATTAGAAGGCTTGTTAATACCCCTATACATAAAGGTGTTTAGCATATAGCAGTTATTGCTTAACTATCTGTTCATTTTTGAATAAAGTAAATGTGGCATATTTGAAGATATCCATAATAATCATTAAGCTGCATTTTAAACAGTTCAATAAATAATAGGACTCATATTATTTTATAATTAGGGAGGAAATGTTCAAAAGCAAGTCCACAGGTTCAGTTTTAAGGGCAAATTAAAGTTATATACAAAGTATCTTTACATCAAGTAATTTAGAAGAAGCTTTGAACTTTATCATAATTAACAACTATATGTACTAACATTTTTTACATAGAAAGGATTCAACTTTAGGAATTTCAGTTTTATGATAGGAAAGGAAATTGGGTATAAGTACAGGTAGGTGGAAGGACCATTAGATTTAGCTACATGCTATAAGAATTTCTTATCAGGAAAAGGTTTCATATCTACTATACTGTATTAGTGATTTTACAGTTTATTAGAAATATTGCAGTTCAGTCACATCAGCTTTGGGTTGTTTTGCCAATGGCATAAACATCTAATTGTAAAAACCACATGTTTATAAAAATACATCCTCCAAAGGGGAAAAATGTTCTTTGGTTAAGTATGTGTGATACTTCTCTACATGGAACATTGAAATGAATTTAATCTTCTGTTCACTTCAAACATTATTTTTCTTTAAAGAGTTTCTTTAAAATCAGGTATATAGTCTGTATATACCATCCTGAGTTCACTGGGTCAAAAGTTAACAGTATGGGGTCATCAATTAAATTAAATGTTAACAGCAAAAATTAAAGGAGTTAAATTAAAAACATAGGGCCTAATCCTATGACGAAGAAAAGTAAGGAAAAAGTGTTCCCATAAGAGCTGTAAACTGTTCACCTATTTAAAATAAATTACTTCTTCAGAGCTGCCTTAAAAAGTTAATTTGTTTAAAACACGTAAGCATTTCTTTGCCAAAAGAGAATGTGCTGTATTTTATTCTCCTTATTTCCCTATAGGTTTGTTCTACACGATAATTTTTTTACATATTAAGAATAGAAAATGTAGCATGAGGCTCAACTGTCATAGAGAACAGGTTATACATCCTCAGTCATATCTCCTAGAGACCAGAGAGTCCCAATTTTACTTCTGTTTACTAGAAATGAATAAGAAATAAATGTTAATAGATTCCTGTCCTACTCAACTTCCAGGACAAGGCTAATCCCAAGTCAATAAAGTCTCTGACAAAGCCATGAGTTGTCATTTTAAATGTTTTTTACTCAATATAAGGTTTATTATTCAATTTTCCTTTGATAAAGGGTCAAGAATAGATCCATGACTATTATTTACCAGTCCTTTTTATTACTTAAATTGCTCCCCAAATACACACATTTTTAATGACCAGACAAAAAGTTAACCAATGCTTGTGTATTTTAGACTATATATGGTATATGATTTACCATTTGGGGTGTCACTTTTTGAGATAGGCTCTGTTAAACTGGAGAACAACCAGAGAAGGAAACCAAGACTGTGAAGGGTTTAAAATCATAGATGTTTGGAGAATGGAGATTCAGTTGTCCTCATGGATGAAAGTACTAGAAGTCATACTTAAGGGGTTATCATATGTAGGTGGGAATGAGTTTGTTCTCAGCAGCTCCAGGGGGCAGTTACAAATAGGTGTGTTTTAACTTTTAATATTCTACGATTCCAAACCTGAATAGGCTAAATTTCCTTTACTAAGGAAATTTAAATCATTTTAAAACAATGTTTCAAAACGCTGTATTTAATATATCATTTAAGGCCAGCATTTTCACACTAATTTTTTAGAAAGTAAATAACAAACAAATGGGTTTATCCGTTTCCAGGTATCCTTATTGGTAATGGGTTGTGAGGTGGGTAGTTCATACTTCTTCACTAAATATTATAATTATTAATTGTAAATGAATGTTAGTTCAGACCTATAATATTAGTTCCACGAATGTGGAAGCAAAGCAATTCTTTATATAGGAGAAAAAAAACCTTATACCTCCATAATCCTAACAGAATCAGAATTGAAAATATGTACGAATCTGTTATAAATGACTTTCAGAAACTGGGGCTCTAAACCATGCAAATTAAATTTCCCCAAACAGAAGTATATTTCCTGATCCATGTGTAAATTTTCTCCCCTATAACTAATATGGATATACTCTAAAAAGAAACTACTTTAAGAGTAGTTTCTTTTTTTTGCCTTTTGTGATTTTTAAAGGGTCATCCAAAAATATTTATGGATAATAAAGTACTTATAAACTGATACGTAATTAATTAAAGCATATAGTTATGAACCATTTAAGTAACTTTTTAAATTATTTTTTTAACATCTTTATTGAAGTATATTTGCTTTACATTGTTGTGTTAGTTTCTGCTGTATAACAAAGTGAATCAGTTATACGTATACATATATCCCCATATCCCCTCCCTCTTGCGTCTCCCTCCCACCCTCCCTATCCCACCCCTCTAGGTGGTCACAAAGCACCGAGCTGATCTCCCTGTGCTATGCAACTGCTTCCCACTAGCTATCTATTTTACATTTGGTAGTATATACATGTCAATGTTACTCTCTCACTTCGTCCCAGCTTACCCTTCCCCCTCCCCATGTCCTAAGTCCATTCTCTTACTTCTGAGGAGGATTTTATCATTGCTTTTTTGATGTATCAATTAGCTACAGGGAAAAGAAACTACCAAAGTTACTTCACAGAACAAAGATTCTGTCAATATCTGAAATAAATGACACACTTGCATTTTAAAAAGGGAATGTAAATGGGTGAATATGTGGGAAAAACTCACCACATTACCAACAGATTTCAGTAAATGTTGTACAGGTTTATGATTAGTGCACTAGATACTGTGAACCTAATGAAACAGTTGTTGTCTGTCTTGAGGTCTGACACTTCACAGACCTAAAAAAGACAAAAAGTACTTTGATGTATGTGTTAAACAAAAAAAGTACAGAAAAATACTTAGATTTAGTATTTTACCAATATATACAATATTTTTACCAATACACTAACCTGATTAGAAGCTTAATTTGAAATTATCAGGTAAATATTAAATTTGAAAAATTAAAAACTCATAGTAGAAAATAAATAGCTATGGATATATGACACAGATTAGAAACATTTTCAAACCAGCCATTGTTAAACCTTATTCTTTTTGCCTTTTATTATAATTCTTCTAGTTTACTAGTTATAATATTCCTGGAGGGGGAAAATCCTAAGCATAGCTATTTATAGCACAATATTTTAAATATATGATAATAAACAAGTACAGTCTTAAAGCAAAATACCTTATTCATAAGTGATACTCAGTAAACATCAATTTATTTCAGAAAACAGCCTTAACAATCAATCTAGAGCAGTTTTAACTCACAGATTATAAGAATACACAGAACATAATAGAGTAAAACAAGTAATTCTCAAATTTGTTCAGGTGGCAGAGCAATTGGTGATCCTGTCTCTCTTTGCTGAGTTCCATTCATTCCCGTTAAATATTAATGCCAGTAACTGTGCTGAAGACACAGAACAAGGACAGACAGATTCCAGGCCATTATGAAACTCTCAAAACCAGAATTGGGGAATTCCCTGGTGGTCCAGTGGTTAGGACTCAGCACTTTCACTGCTGTGGCGGGGGTGGGGGGGGTGTTCAATCATTGTTCGGGAAACTAAGATCCCACAAGAGCTACATTCCTTTCTGGAGGATCTAAGAAAGAATCTGTTTTCTTGCCTTTTCCAGCTTCTAGAGGTTGCCCTCCTTCCTTGGCTCATGGCCCCCTTCTATCTTCAAAGCCAGCAATAGCTGGTTGAGTCTTTCTCACATCTCACCACCCTGACACTGACTATTCTGCTTCCCTCTTCCACATTTAGAAAAATTGTGGAATTATATTGAGCCTACTCAGATAATTCAGGAAAATCTATTTTTAGGTCATCTGAGTAGCAACCTTAATTCTATCTGCAACCTGAATACTCCCTGCCATGTAACACAACATATTCACAGATTCCAGGGATTAGGATACGGACATCTTTAGGAGAACCATTATTATGCCTATCATATAAATGAATCATTTTCCTCTACCTTTCTTCAGGAACTCCATCGACCATCATCCATCTCTAAAATTACGTGCAAACAGTTCACATATGCACATGATTCTAGAGAAAGAATCTGTAACTGTCAACAAATTCTCAACGTTTAAGAATCACTGGACTAGCTCACAGACTATCCATGTTCCTTAGAAAGATAGTTTGGCAGGGTCAACAATGCCAAATTTTAGACTGGCTTTTATCTTTTTAGCTTTGATCAGAAAACCTTGATATGCGTTGAAAGTTTTTTCTTGTACTTTTCCTCTGTGTGTTTTAGAAGTAGTTCCAATCATCCTAATTATACCTCTACATCTTGCACTTACAAACATTTTTCCAGTTGGTATGCATTATTTTGTGATGATGCTAATAGTAAATCCAGTGAATTTTCCACAGTTTACTCAATCTTACTACTACTAGACATTTCAACCCAACCCCCCCCCTTTTTGCTATTTTATTTACTATGCTGGAATGGGCATCTTCCTATATAGATCTTTTTCCATAGTTTGGATTTATTTCACCTAGACTCCTAAAATTGGAATTTCTGGCAGGAAAAACATGACTATTTCTATAATCTTTTTTATTATTGCTAAATTACTTTCCAAAAGGTCTGCTTTAATTTACATTGCCACCAGCCTTTACTCACTCATACCATCAATGTGAGGAGGTTTTTTAAATGTCTTTCATGCATTGAAAAGAATATTCAGGGGTCATTTAAATTCTTATCAAAGTTATGAACTAAAAAACTTAGTTCTTCCTTAACTTTTAAATTCAACTTGAAACTCTGGTTAGTCTTTGTAAATTTTTTTGTGTGTGTGTGGTACGCGGGCCTCTCACTGTTGTGGCCTGTCCCGTTGCGGAGCACAGGCTCGGACGCGCAGGCTCAGCGGCCATGGCTCACGGGCCCAGCCGCTGCGCAGCATGTGGGATCCTCCCAGACCGGGGCACAAACCCGTTTGCCCTGCATCGGCAGGCAGACTTTCAACCACTGCGCCACCAGGGAAGCCCAGTCTTTGTAAATTTTAACAGCAATCACTTTTAAGGATGCTTTTTAAGAGGTCTCTTAAATATTTAGCATTTAGAATTTTATAACTTCTATAACTTCTGCTTTCCTTAAGTACTTAAAGTTTGGTTAATAAATAAAACCTCTCCAAGAACTTATTTGAAAAAGAAAAACAAGAAAAACTTGTATTTGTTTTTCTCCTTTTGCTAACTGTGTATTGGTTAACTCTATTTTTCTTATAGACCTATCTCTTTATATATTGAGGATATTAACCCTTTACCTACTTTATATGTTAAAAATATTTTTTAGTTTGTCATGTGTCTTTACTATTTATAGCAATTTTTTTTTCCGGTGTATACCTTTTTTGTGTAGCTACCAGTGTTCTCCAAGATTCTGTGTTGAACCTTTTTATCAGTCTACATACCTCCCTCAGTGATCTCATCCAATCCCACAGTTTAAACTACCACCTACAATTGGTCAACTAGTAAATCTACAGACAACATGCAAACCAGACCTTCCCCAAAATTCCAGACTTCCAAATCAAAAATCCAATCCTAATATCCAGTTACCTCTACAGAGGATGGAAGTATGTACTTGGCCCAAAGGCATATAAAAATCAACATTTCTGGGCTTCCCTGGTGATGCAGTGGTTGAGAGTCCGCCTGCCGATGCAGGGGACACGGGTTTGTGCCCCGGTCTGGGAAGATCCCACATGTCGCTGAGCGGCTGGGCCCGTGAGCCATGGCCGCTGGGCCTGCGTGCCCGGAGCCTGTGCTCCGCAATGGGAGAGGCCACAACAGTGAGAGGCCCGCGTACCACAAAAAAAAAACAAAAAAAAACAAAAAAAAAACATTTCACATATCATAATCCACCAAACCTGTTCTATTTTCCCTCAGGAAATGGTACCAAGAGACACTCAGTTGCCCATACCAGAAACCTAGGAGTCCTGCTACACACCTCCTCTCTCTCTTCTCCATGTATTATACAAAGGCTCCTAAGCCTCTTTAGTCTTACCTTCCAACTTTTTCCATCCTAGCTAACTCTGCTCTAGCCTCATAGGCATTGAATTTACTGGTCCTTTCTGCTCAGGACATTAACATACACTCCTCCTTTGCCTAGAGTGGTCTTCCTTCCTAAGTCTCAGTTTAACTGTCCCACCTTAGAAAGGCCTTACTTAAATCTTCAGTGTTAGGTCCCCATGGTGTACGCTTTTAGGGCATCCTGTGTTTTCCTGCTATAGTACTTATCACAGTTGTAATTTGTATGATTATTAACTTAATCCTTGTTTCTCTCAGTAGACTACACCATAAAGGGAGGAACTGTGGCTGTTATGCTCATCCCTATATGCTCAGTACCTGGAACAATACATAACACAGAGTAGGTGCTAAATAGTTACCTGGGAATAGTTACATAGTTAATACTGAGTAAGTAAATCCAATCTTGTTTATACTTCATTTCTAATTCTTTGGTTCAAATACTTTTTTATTTCTTGCCTAGATACTACAATAGCCTCTGCAGGACTTTCTATCACCGCTCTTGCATTTTCTAATGTGTTCTCCAGTACCCTTGTTAAAGTGAATTTCTAAAATATAAATCTGATCGTATTACTCATTGGTTTAAGATTTCTCAATTGCATCAATATAAAAGTGATAGGTAAGGCCCTTCATGGTTTAACCGCTATCCACTTGATCAGGCTAACCTTTCTCAACTCGTCCAAAGCACCTAGGCAACAAATCACACAACTACCTGAATATTCTTGACCATGCCAGGTTCTTTCTGACTCCTCTGTTTCCTTACACTCCAGTGATTCTGCTTAAAATGCTCTCTATGGCCTACTTCTGCTCTCTCTTTTACACTGGTTCCTCGAAGGCTTCGCCAAGGTATCCTTCAAAACACAGCTCAACCACCACCTCCCTCCTAAAAAGCTTTCCTGAGCCACCAATTCCTTACCTGGGTTAATGTTCTTCCTGTACATTTCAAATTATAATTTTTAAAGAATTTATTTTTCTTCCATTAGACTTTCAGCTCCTTGCTAACAGGGACTACATACTTCTCATCTCTATATATCCAATTCTGGTAAATGTTTGACTAATCTGTGTGCCAGTACATATCAAACCCATCAAAACATACCTACCTTTTGGGAACTGGTATTCCCACTTCTGAGAAATCGTCTAATAAATAAATGAATAAATAAGAAAGTTAATTAGGAAAACATAAAAATGTTCACTCCAGAATTATTTATAATAACAAAAAATTGAAAACAACCTAGATGTCCACCAATAAAAGAATGGTAGAATCTGCTAAATGATACATAGCAGAGAAATTTAGAATGAGATCATAAAAATGATATAGTAACTCAGATGCTTCTTACATGTTAAGTGGAAAAAGACAAAGAAAACTATTTCACACTATGACCCTATAAAATTATACGTACAGATATTTACTAAGGGAACATGAAAATTGTATGAGTTGTTAATGTGGATTGTGATTTCACTGACTTTATTCAGAACTTTATAAATATTGCTATGATATCTTCTCAATTATAATACAAATAATAATATACATGAGCTTAATTTTATTAACATATATGTACATCTTAGTGTATGCATATTTTAATGTGCATATATATGTATATATTTCCTAGCTCTCCTGAAAGGTCCAAGAAGCAGCAATGAGCATACCTAACCTTGATCTCTAATAACATTCTCCACTAAGAGGAAATGGCTCTGGAGAAAAAGCTAACACCAGGGCTAGGGCAGGGTAAGCGCAAGCTAAACTTGGAACATCTTATTATACCAGAAAGCAAGGAAGTACGCCCAAAAAATGATATAAGCATACCACAAAGACATAGGACCCAAACTAAAGGTGCTTCCACTAGCTAAATCTGGGACAATTCGAACACCAAAATAATTAAATACAGGCTTAAATATTTAGAGGTGAAAGCTCATGATGTGTGTAACTTACATTCAAATGGTTCAGAAAAAAATGTACAAAATATACACATATAGGCCACAACAGTGAGAGGCCACAACAGTGAGAGGCCCGTGTACCACACACACACACACAAAAATATATATATATACATACACATATAAATATAGAAAGAATACAGGAAAACAAGGTAAATACAGAAATGGAAAAACATAGGAATTCATAAGTTAATGCAGATAATAAATAGATAAATAGAGGAGAAGAAAGGGCTCTGTTTGCAGTAGAATGCTGTGGGCTGACTGGTAAATGTGAAAGGAGTATTAGATTTGTTGAATCATTTTGCAACCATCATGGTAAAATTATATCAGCAATAATGGATGCTATATTTAAATGGGAACTTTGATGAAGAGCAAGCTTTATCTTCAAATATTTCCCCACAAATTGCTTATTTGCCAGGAAGGAAAAAAACAGTAACTATACATTGGAAAATTCGGGCCATATATGGATCAGGTGGTCAAAATTAACATCATCAGTGAGGGACATATGGATATCATGTGCTTTCAGAAGTGGTACCCTGAGAAGGACACAATACCACCTGTGCAGTAGTCCAGTTAAAAATGCAAAACCTCAATTTAATCATGAGGAAACATCAGACAAAAACAAAATAAGGAATGTTCTATCAAAAAGGAGGGTGGAGGGAGAAACTATATTCTTCAAAAATATCAAGGTCATAAAAGATAAAGAAAGGCTGTGGAAATGTTTCAGTAAAAGAAGCTAGAGTCAAGACCCACTAAATGTAGTGCCTGACCCCAGACTGGCTCCTGTACAGGAGGGGGAAATGCTATAAGGACCAACCTACAAAATGCGAATGTGGATGGTAGACTGAAGTATTTTCTCAATGTAAATTTATGAAGTTGACAGGAAATACACACTTAAGTATTTAGGGATCAAGGGCCAGGATGTATGTAACTTAACCTCAAATGGTTCAGAAAAAAAACTGCATATAAAGAAATATATATATATATATATATATATATATATATATATATATTTGGAGAGAGACAGAGACCTTGCAAAAGAGCAAGTAAATGATATGGGTGTTCTCTGAACTATTTTTATTTTTGCAACTTTTTGTAAATTTGAAATTATTTCCAAGTAAAAGAGTTTTTTTTAAAGTAAGTCCACCTCAGAAAAACAAGACCAACAAGAAAATAAAAGCTATTTATGTAACTTTTACATCTATGCAATTTGCATCTATGCAAATTGTTTTTAAAACATTCACCAGTGTATACTGAGTTACTGTTCAAAATGTTTAAGAGGCTTCATTCTTCCTTAAAAGATGAACAGAACTATAGCTTTCACAGTTTTATCTAAATAAGCTAATATGTTGAAGCCAACATTCCATCAGTCGCAGCTTACTCATCAGAAACAGCAGGAGGGAAAAAAAGCATTGAAATTACAAGACCTCTGCTCTCCACACTACCCATATTTACCATTCATTTGCTGGTGATTGCACTGCAGTTTCCAAGTAAAACCTCAAATTTTAAATTATGACTTCAGTTTTACTCTTATGACAAGTCAAGAAGAGTATGCAGAAAAACAAACTGGGTGGGTGGAAAGGGGTGGGGGTAGGGTGATTAACTCTTCACTGTATTGAAAATGAAAGAAAGTTGACAACTTCTACCCCAGCTGAGTCCCTAAATAATTGAGTTCTTTCTTCTCATAAAGTATATCACTGTGTGGAGTATTAAACTTCAAGGAAGGTATTCTTACTAGCTTTTTACCTGTGAATCTGATGATCTGAAGTAAAAGTACTCTTTTTTTTCTTTAAAATTCAACTCAGCAATTTGCACCCCCTTGTGGTCAAACATAAAATTCTTCATTTTCAAAACACCATTTTTTTTTTCCAGTTGGGTTCACGCTTAGGAACCAAGTTACCTGATTTTGTTTTCTCCCATATTAGTGAATCAAGAAGCTTTAATGAAGGATTGTTGGTTTATTAAATAGGATCTTAAAACAGGACTTAAATCTTCTAAAAGTGACCTCTATATAAACTTCAGTATGTGGAAAATGGGAGATAATAATTGCACCCACCTCATGAGTTATTATGAGGATTCAAGGAGAAAATGGATATGCATGCTTAGCTGACACATTGTAGGTACTCAATAAATGTTATTAGTTATTAATATCATCATCACTTTGGAATTCTCTTGACAGAATAAATCTTAAAAGGGGACTGGATTTAAAAATTTACCAATTCATGATGTTCTAGTACAATCTTGCAAATAAATTCCCCAAATATACCACTTATCCAGACTTCACCTAGCTGATTCTCTCCACAGGTATATTTTTAAATTACAAAGGATATGTATTTATCTCTAGATGACAGAAATTTGGATGGTTTTTACTTTACATTTTAGAGTGGTTTTTTTCCCCTTTCCCTTTAACTTTAATAATTAGAAAAAGCAGTAAGACGATTCCATCTTCTTAGGTTACTCTTACCATCTTTATTCATCTGACAGAAATCATTACTCTATTTGGCAAAAATAATTCGTCAGGTTAATTTATCATTTTAAGGGGCTCTTGAACAGAAATGCTAATTCCTAACGGCCCTAACTGTAGTTTTTTAAAATACCTCTAAAGAAACCATTTTAAAAGATCAGTGTTAATAACTGACTTACAACAATAGCTAACATTCACTAATATACCAAGCACTGTTCAAATACCTTTAATATATTAGCTCATTTACATCCTTACAACAACCGGTTGAGGTACTAGCATTAATCCTTTTACAAAAGATCAAACTGAGAAAAAGTAACTCATGCAGGGTCACAAAGCTAGTAAATAGCAGAGCTGAGCTCCAGCCCAAGCCGTTTGGTTCCAGAGTCTACTCACTTAACCAGTGCACAAACGTACCATAGAGACGTAAGCCCCATACTACTCAACCATGTTACTTCTTGATGATGTCAAATTATTAAAATCCATTTCTCTTCCATCTGTACCACAATAATGCAAACCATGCTAGCCTTCTCCCATTTCCTTACTTCTTAGCACTTCAGGCATTTTCACCTGCGTTGTCTAATTTAACCCTCACAATGATGTATGTCTTTGTACACTCAGTTATGATTCATCACAAGTTGTTTTACAACAAAAACTAGAAATAAGTGTAGCAATGCCCCAGATTTTAAACTGTTGGATTCTTTAGAAAATTCATTGTAACTTGGGATCAGGAAAAAAAGCAACCAGTTTTAAAATAATCTTAAAATGTAATCATTTAGAATCAATGGCAGTTTGGTTTTTTTCCATCTTAACTAGCCTGTGGCAGGTAGGATAATTCTCTCAAGCAAATGAATGATTAAAAGAGATTTTTAAAGAAGGTGTTCCAGTATTGACAAATGTATCATCATCTACTGTCTTACCATAGTGCCCAGTTTTTGACGTTGGACAGATCTGCCTAGGTCTTGTGCTTCTACTTACTAGTTATAAAACTTTGGGGCAAGTTTCTTAATCTGAGTCTCAGGTATCCTCTTGTGTAAAATAAAGATAATGCCTACTTCATAGGGCTGATGTGGGCAGTAAACATGATCATTCCGTAAAGCGTTTATTTTAGCACCATGGCAGCCCAGAGTACAGTCAATATATGGTATCTAGCTATTATTACTTTACCAGTGCGTGACACAACAGAAACCCGTCTTTGCAAGATTAAGTTCCCTTACCAACCGTTTTTTTAAAAATCACCCTAAGCGATCCCAAAGACTGCCCAATAACCCATTTACCTCTCCAAAATCGAGCAGAATGTTTAAGAACAAGAACGCGGTGAGAGAAACTAGATTCAGTGAAAGTGCCTTCATAACAGGGAACCTAGAACCGGGCTCCAGCACACGCGCGCGCGCGCGCACACACACACACACACACACACACACACGCAGACGCACACAGGTTGGGTCGCACAGCATGGTAGAGAACGGCCCGGGCTCCAGAATCTGACAGATGCGGACTCGTCCACGTGCTTGCTACCTGTGCTACCTTAGGGAAATTACTTACAACGTCTCTGAGCCTTGGTTTCCTGGTCTGCAAACGGAGAATGATAATAGTACCTACCTCATAAAGTTCTTGAGGCTTAAGTGCGATTGCTCCGGTAAAGCGTTGACTTACAGCAAGAGCTGTACACACATGCGGGGCTGATTCAAGTACACGTGTATCCATACACACGGTCTCAGACACATTCCGTTGGAGTTTAGACACTGGCAATAAGATGTTTTTCTTTTCGCCTAAGCTGCACCCTTATTTGTTTTCCTCGAACAGTAGAATAAATGCCTATCTACTGATACGTCATCTACGGACCCTCGGGCCCACACTCCGCACGGCCCCTCTACCTCTTAGGCTGAGCATAGGAGCTGCACGCACGCGCAAGAAAAGAGAAGGGCTGCGACTGAGGAAGCGAAGGCAGAACGGTGAACACGCGATGATTCTGCGCATGTTCAAGGCGTGGGGGGTTGGGGCAGGAGTTTGCGCATGAGCAGAAGTGTCGGGAAAGCTAGAGTACGGAGGTTAGGAGGCGGTATTGACAGCTGTGGAGGCAGCCCGCGTTCCCGGCATGCCCCGGGGCGGCGGGGTTGGCTCTAACGAATTTGAATGAGGAGCCTCAGCGCTTTCGGCGCCATTTTCGAGTGATGCCTGATCTCATCAATCTAGCGGGAGAGACGGGATAACCTGTCGGAGAGCGTATCGCCACTAGGACTCAGCCGAAAAATTACTAAAAAAATCGCCAAAAATTACTTCGAGCAAAGGGCACTTGGCGGAGCTTCGCCAGGGTTGGCGCAGCCGGTAAGAGCCTGAAGAAGTAGCAGAGCGGGACTCGGGAGGTGGCAGTGGTGGGACCGGCAGGCGGTGGGGGGGTGCAGGGAGTGGGAACTGGGTCCGCCTTCATTTTAATCGCCAAAAATGCGAGGAGGTAGGGTTGGGGGTAATTGGGTGTCTGAGTAGGCGGCGGCGGGCAGAATGTGGCGGGAGCGCGGAGAGTCGGGGGTGTGGGGGGAGGGGAGTTGCAGTTTGAGCGGGACGCGGACGCGCTGCGGCTGAGCGGCCGCCGCCCAGCGGATCTGTCAGCAGGACCCCCCGCCCGGGGCCGGAGACGGGGCGCGGCGGGGCTCGGCAGGCAGAGGCTCCTTGACAGGAGGAGGGGGACGAGCGCGCCCTCCCCCATTGCCGAACCGAGCAGTCTTTTATGGCAGTTTTCCCGGCCCGCTGCGGCTGTCTTCCCGTGACAAGAAACTTAAGGTCGGCGGAAAATTGAGGACCCGGAGTAGCGGGTGCCTCCCGGCCGACGTGCGGATAGTACCCTTCGCGGGACCCAGTCGTGTATATTGTCGTCTTTGATGCCAAAGCATGAGATGCCCTAGCAATGTGAGTTTCTCCACGCCGCCCTCTGGCTCTGCGCGCCTGGGTCTCGGCAGGGGTAGCACTGACCGCGTCTGGCTTTTCCAATTTGGACAAGATGGGGCGGGGGCAGGCTTTTGAGGTTTTAGCGGGCTCCTAGGAAAGATGCTGGACTTTCGCTTTTTGCTCGGGATTTTTTGTCATTTGCTCTCACGGTGTCTTCTTTTCTTGGGGGGGGGCGGGGGTGTGTTCTTGGGTGAGATGAAAGATGGGGCTTCGACCTTGCGATTTCCTTCTCAGAGTCGCACTTTTCTGAGAAGACTTTTTCCTTCTCCAGTCTTTGAAACGTGTCGCAAGGAAAAAGGCAATCTTTGAAACTGTAGTAATGTTTTCCTACCGAAAAGTCTTTACCCGAAGAACTTAACGGTAATTTTGCAATCCCCACCTTTTCTTGGGAGCTCTCTTGGCTTTGACGCGGAGGGGAAAGGGCTATTTGTCTTTCCCTTTAGTGATTTTTTTTTCTCGTAGTTTCTACCACTTTTTACTCGACAACTCTTGAATGATTTGAGCCAGTGACGCCTTTAACTTTAAGTAATACTTTATAGTTAGATAATGGCTTTTGTAAAATTCCTCATTAAAGATGTACCGGATCATGAATCCCTTTCTGCGCTGAAGGCACCCTAGATTAACCCTTTGCTGGTGTGATGTATTGCGTATGGGGCGCGCGACTCTGAGTTGCGAATATGCAGGAGATGATTTTTGCAGCAGCTATTCAGTTGTTCGAAAAGAGGGATAAGGCTTTCAGTCACACACTTTTTAGGACCGCCTGCCTAAAGTTTTTCCCTCTGGAATTGATGTAACGATTGATTGATTTCTTATTTCTGTAAAGATTGGGGCACCCGCCCTCACTTAGAATCTTTCCCCGAAGAGAGTAGGAGAGCGCAAAGTGATGTTTTTCAAATTGTGTCTAACGGAGCTCCCAAAACACCGAACTTGTTACCCCCTGATTGGCTGGAAGGAAGCGGGACTGGGGGGTTTGAATGTTGAACGCTAGATTATAATTCTCGGCTTTCCAAAAAATTATACATTTAGAAAACCACGTTATGAAACATTAAGACGGGGAGTTTAAAAAAAAAAAGCTGGTGTTTAGTATTTTTGCTTCCATAAAGGATTTTCGAGTGATTTTGAAATGTATATCAAAAGAAAAACCTAGAGAAGACGATTTTCTCAAAATTGTAATTCTGCTGGCTGAAATTACAAGACTTTTATATATTTGCCCCTGTTCTCTATTGGTTAAAAACTGAGTTTAGGATTTTTTATTCCTCTGACAGAATTTTTTCATCTTAACCTACATGTATTTGTTAGATGCAGATTATGGGAGAATTGTTTCTTTTATTTCCATGAAAAGAAACTTCAATTTTCTTAATGTTAAGAATGAGCACATTCCACATTTTCCACAAAAATTGGATACATTTCTTAAACTTTTCACATATAATTTTAAATATATAGGTTTTGCTAATTCAGCCATTGCAATGGACTTAAAACCTTATTTGCAATAAATTTATGTTGCTTAATTTAGACAATACAACAGGTAAGTAGCACAGGTGCGTGTGTATGATTTCATTTATAAATTCATTATGAAGAAATATATTGCATAGAACAGTGTGGGTGTGTTGTGTTTTATTTGGTTAGTTTTCAGTTGTTTAATGTTGCTTGAGACAGCCGTCAATATATTTCTTTTTATTACCAAGCTTGTCATTCCGTTTAGTTGCATCTTGATAAAAGGCGGGTGTGGTTTTCAAAGAACATCGGTAAACTCACTGATAAACAAGATAGCCATAGATGTTTTTTTAAAGATTTTTTAATAGAAATTTATATCCTTTTATTAATAGTAACTGAAATTTTGAAACTTAGAGTTTGTATTCTCACATTAGGTCAGATGTGCATTGTGAGAAAATATTCAAATGAAAAGATCCTACGACTTTTATAAATCTCTGTAGAGCTATAAATATAATTTATATTAATAAGGGGAATAGCTGAGTTTATAAGTGATACTATTTTGTATTGCCTTCAAAACAAGAATTGGAATGACACAACCTATGTTCATTGCTTTTTTTCAAAGCTGTTTATTTTGAGTCATCTCATGAAAATTTCATAAGAGATGCTAATTATCCTCTCTATAAAATTTGCTTTAATGAAACTGTAGAAGACCCTATTTCTATTTTAAATGTAATTTTACCTAAGATACCAGAACCAGTGGGTTTTGCTTTTTCACTGTTTCGGTTTTTGTGTTTTAATTTTCATTCAAATTATTATGTGACTTGGAGAGTTTTGAGGGTAGGATGGGGAAAGGCTTTAAATTCCACCAGGCTGGTTAAATTTAACCATACTTTTTTAGTGTTTTGGTTTATGGGTTTTTTTCGTTTGTTTTGGGAGGTGATAGGTGAAGGACTGTTTTGTTTAATAAGCCATTTTGAAAAGAAGTGAAGGGCTTCCTTTATTTAAAATACTACACTAAAGCTTGAGAACACACTAGCACCTAAATAAAATCCACAAGCGTTCAAAATATTTTCCCTTTTATGTGCTAGATAAGAGGAAGATTTTGGTTTTAGACTTGTGGGCGTGTAGGTATGAGTTCCAGCAGATGTATATTATTATATTATGTATATTATCCATATTTCTCTGCAGAAATGGATAATTCTAATTTATTTTCTATTGTAAGGGCTAGAAAAGTCTTGTATTACCACAGGAAAACAATGGTGGAGAAAGGTGTTGCTACCGTAGCTCAGCTCTTTTCAAAGCTATGTTTATATATTGTGGGAGAGAGGGAACTAGAGAAGGTAAGGTATCAGTCTTCCTGATAGCATTGATTTTCATTTGTTTGCCCTTCATACTATTTTATAAAAGTGCGGTTTTAGACTTTGTTTTAATGCTGTTAAGTTGTCTTAGTTGTACATTTACAAAATGTAGCCTCAGGTGTTTGTATGTAACACTGCTTTTTTCCTAATCAGATTAATAATCACTTTTCATGTTTATCTAGAGCTAAGGATGAAAATTTCAAAATACCTTTCATATTCTGGATCCCTTGTTTCATCATGCTTTGTGTGCTACATTTTTGTTTATTTTTTGTTTTGTGGAGACATATATTTTTATCTCTGCTTACTTATTAGTATGTAGTAACTGTTCAGAATGTCACTAAATAACTTCAATCCAGAAATATTAGTCGGTTGATTTGGTTTACAAAAAGAAAAAAAAAATGCCCAGCGACTGTATTAGAGATTTCTTCTACAGGATACATAAGCTTTCTCCAATTAAAAACATCAGAGTATAAATTTACACACGATTTTGAATTTTTATTCTATAAAAATTTGTCTCTCTTATTTTAAAATATTACTGGGCTAAAATTGGCTCTTGTCTTTTTTCCTTTTGTTTAATGAAGCTTAATAATCTTCACTGATTTCTTTTTAACCCTTTTTTAGAAGAAACAGATTACTGGTCTGATTATATCTAGAAAACACATCTTAGAAAGAATTGTCAGAGTATTACTCTACATGTTTTGTTTTGTTTTAATTCAGAAAACTTAGAAACATTGTGTGCCAGGCAACTAATTTTGGCATGTAATTAGAATTCAAACTATGACTTGCTGAAATTTGGTAGCTCCAAATCTCTTAAGGAAATCAGTAATAAACTACCACTTTCTTTGAAATAAGTGTCGAAAATGAGATTAAGCCGCTTTTGCATTTAATTTTTACAAGTGACAGTAGTAGAACTTTAAAGTCTCGATTGTCTTAATATTATAGGAGTAACATCAGTTGTAGAATGTCACGTTACTAATATGTGTTTATATATTTTTCTGATTATTTGCATGAACAAATGACTGTAGAGCCTTCCTAGAAATATTGCTTTCTGGTAGGGAAATGATTTTCTCTTGCCTTTTTTTTTCCTTTGCCTGTCTTAAAGATACTTTAAAGGATTTTTATTTTAGAAAGACAAGTTTAAAGTATTGGAAATATATAAAAGTATTAAATATATATGAATTATATTCTTAATATTTTTTATCAA